TACTGTAATAACTATTATAAACCAGGATACAATTGAAAAACTGCTTGAACACAACAGTTAGAACGATCGCAACATGCGAGGCCTGATGCACCACGCGAACGTGTAGCACAGGCCCCACATTACCCCAGTTACCGCAAGTTCGCAATGAGAGAAATATTAATGGTGAATAATTATAGAATCGGTTATATTTTTTCCACAAAACTAGAAAGTCCGTTGCATCACAACCACCATTGCCAAGACAAATGCAAATAACTCTGTCGAGATTCACTTCATAGTGAACTACGACCCAACCATGGATTGACACGAAAGCAGTACGAAGGAGATCAATAACAATAATCGTAGCACTAGGCTGGCATGTCTTCAATGCGAGCCTTCTGATCGAGCCAATGCAATGTCTAAGCCCTCAACGACTGGCCCTCTGTGATTCTCTATCTCAATGGATTCGTCGAATGGTGTCTGAGGTATCTTTGCTCTCGATGCTTCTTGCTCATTGCTCAAGTTGCTGCAAGCAATCCTGGTGGCCTAAGAAGGATTAACGAGTTGCTTCGATCACTACACAACAGATATTCGGATGTAGTCTAATTGGTTAGGATTCGTGACTCTCATTCAAACGACCGAGGTTCGAGTTCCCCTATCAGAAACTTCTTCAGCCATTATTCCACCATTGTCATGCTATGATCATCAATCTACACAACCTAATACGCCTAACCGAACCGCCTCGGTTCGTGTAGCGAATGAAGTTAAACCACATCACATGATGCGTTCTCTCGGACATTGCTGTCGATGCCTGCCTGCTACCAAGAGGTGTGGACAAGCCCAGTACAACGTCGGCATGTCGAGGTTGTACCGATCAAGTGCTGCACTTGATCCGTGTTATCGGAGATCAATTTTGAGCAGAAAATAGTCATCATCAAATCGCAATGCGACCGAGCATGAACACGAGGAAATCTACACTATAAACAGTATACAGTGGTAAAATCGTCCTACGGCACATCGGCGCCATTACAATCAATAATACAATCGATGACAAATCTAATTACATGTGTTATGTCCAGCAATAAGCCCACCGTATGCGTCTCGTCACAACACCATAGGACCCGGACCGGGTCACCCGGTTACATACAAGAACTTTCCTCATCCAATACTCCCACATACGCTCAACTGCCCACTCTGTCAACGTCATACTCTGACGACATCATCGGCGTCCCTGGTGGGCTGAACCCAGGCGCGGCAGGAGTCATAGCCGACCCCTCGGTGCTTTCATGGGAAGCCTTCGATACCACTCGTTAATGACAGGCCTCTCCCACACCATGACGACAACGACGACCTCTTCTCTAGTGCATCACTAGCACCACCGCATCCGAATCAGCTGGAAAGTCCGCCGCATGGCGGAATGCCGAATAGCACTGCTTTACCACACCCCAAGGTCGACTGAACGCGATTCAGTTGAGGTTAACATATAGAAAAGGGCAGATTGGCACTCCTCCTCACTCGCCACTAAAGGGTATCAACAGCGACGAGCCAGTCCTTGTAAATTCATACAAACCACCAAGCACGATTTCGTGCCTGGATAGCAGATTCAAATGTCTGCATCATCGGTCTTTCCCAATAACATCAAGAGAATGAGCGCATTAGAAAAATATTCACAACATCAAAGTGTAGTCGTATACACTTTAAGTGGTTTCTTGCACATCGTATTAAAAAGAAATGACTCGACTACAGCTCATCAGCCTGTCGGCTGTCCGAGGCGATCTCAGCCAATAAGAGGGCCAATGAGCCTTCTTCAATGGGCACCGATTTGTCGTCAGTTAATGCCTCACGATCATCCACGTGGAAGGCCGGCTGGAGCCCTTGAACCCACAGCGACGCCAAGTCAGCAATCAGGGAATTCACACTAGCATCACCATCATCAACAGCTGAACACTCCGGTACGAACTCGGGCGCTTCCGGGTCCAGACCGATGCCGCCCTCTTTGTCCTCACAAGATATCACCCCTGGGATAAACTCAGGTGCATCCGCGTTGAGCATACCAGCAGTAGAAAACGCCGAACTGGGGATAAATTCCACAGCATCAGAGTTCAATTCAGTTGTTGTCACTATGGTAGGGTCGTCAACACTAACATCGCCATCAACACTATAGACTCGGTCGTCAACAGGATGAGCCGTGCCCTCTTCGGAGAGTTCATCCGACGTTGTTGTTGAAGTTAATCTTGATGCGAGATAGAACTTGGCCGGTAGCTGCCACGTGTTATTAGAGTAAAGGCCAGCGGGAGAGTTAGAACCACCACTGGCCGACCAGGGTGTGTATATAGACTCACCAAAATCAGAGGACATTGAAATGAATAGTTGATACTTGTGTTAAGTAAACTCAGTGTAGACACTCTAGTATTGTTTCGATTAGGTTAGCCGAATGAGTGTTATTGAAATCAACTCAAATCAGCGGAATGGAAAGTAGAAGTCGATATAGTTGAAAATTTCAAGACTACAAAAGAAATTACACTAAAATGACAGGTGCCGGGATCGAACCAGGGTGAATCTCCAAAACACAATCTATTGCCAACTCAATTTGTCAACGACAAGGGTAATTCAATTATAAACATCGCAACATACTCTGATGATGGAACCAAGCTCATAATCTCATGTAAGTGCATCTCAAGACCACGTAGTCTTCATAGTAATATCAGTGATAGTATACCCTTTCATTTCACAGTCGCTCTTGAGTCGACCAGCCGATGTGCAATAGTTTAGTCGATGACCTCTCTGGTACCCGCTGTAAAATGAGTAAAATATTCTCAAAATTATTATGTAAATTGGCGGTCATACCGCGCAGTTGGATTAGCCTCAGATTATGGCAAGTTGCCATTGGCAACCTGTACTTTTCTCACCTGGCAGGTGACACCTGTTGGTCTGAGACCGATGGTCTCAGGGTTGTAGCGAAAGGCACTTCACGACTTGTCGAAACTTCGCCGAAGAACACTCTCGAGAAGTCTCCTAAGAACAGAAGCCGCAGGCAACAGAAAACACGATTTCAAGAACACCACATGGGAGGCGTAGACTACGCCGCGTAGTACGAATTAGGACGTAGCGAGACGTAGTGCTACTACGTATTTTAGGTATACTACCTATTTTAATACACTACTACAGTAGTAGTGTATTAAAATACTTCTACGTCTAACGAAGAAGTGTTACGGAGCGCCGGCAAGTGTGTGCCTGGCACACTGTGCCACACACCGTGCGAGTCATTACCTCGAACAACTATACAGCTAACAGAAATACCTAGGAACAGGAATCCTGTTACAAGACTACTCAACAACGACTGTGAGGGATCCATGAACAATGAGCAAGCCCTCGCCCAATGTGACAAAATTTGAATGGCTATCACAGCCGATAGCAAAAGAGTTTCCTCGGTAAAATCCCTCATCGTGGGCCTTACATGAGGCGTTGTCTGGCAAACAGCCTATTTGAAATAGGTCATCCGTGGGATGACAAAGCTCAATCCGGTTCTTATTGGAGAATCAGCCATTCCAATGTGAGCAAGTACCGAATGCGAGTAAAACCTCACAGTTTTGCTGCAGAACTCCCGCAGATGCATGGCATTCATTATGGAGAGATCATAGTATAGAGCACATGATCTCACGCCGCGTGAGTGGTGAGAGTGAGTAACGCGCACGCTGAGATGAGAAACAGTCCACGATGTATTCCCTACGCCCGCGCAGACGAAGACTCGACGGCGCAGACGTTCTCGGCCTCTGTGCTGAATCAGCACTGCTGACGCCGAGCCTCATGAACATCCCATCCACGGCAAGAGGCGACCCATCCGGCGAGGCACCCAAACACCTCATCTGCTTGACAATCTATATATCCACAAAAACTATTACTATTGCGAAAGATATATCGCGTTCTAAGTTAGAACTTCTAACTTTCCAAGACAATTTCCAAACGTAAACCTGAAACAAAACCATAACCAATAAACTTAGTAAAACGTCTCACATAGGGGCGTATTACCCATTTTATTACCGGTTGCTAGACGTGCAGGATTTCCTACGGAGAACGGCGAATCCACAATAACCTCCGACACCTTGTCGGAGGTTATTGTGGAAGTTGTCGGCGACAAGCAATCATCAGTGAATATAACATAACTCATCCTCCCATGTTTAACTCAACCTCAATAATATATAATCCAACATTCCTTTGAAATTTTTAATTTTAGCTAACAAACTTTTACCATTGCCAAATCTAATCAATCTGAATGACTTACATCACACTTAATTCTGCATCTCAACTCAACAATTCATCCTTCGAAAAGCCAGAAATTTGTATGAATCACTTAACTGATTCCAAAAGTCTTATATTCACCAAGATGGTTTGTACCCAACATATCAATAGTCATGACAATAAGGACTAGACTGGTAAGCTAAATCACTATCTTTCTCGATCGAACGTTTCAAGTACCTGACCCAACAAAAGTCATTTTCCATGACCAACCAAAAGCTTCATTTACTCCTATCAGCAACCTGCCGAGCTTTAACCTTAGCACCTTCAACCGCAACCCTAATACTATCGGATAACACACATACCAAATCAACAATATGAATCTTAGCAACATCAACAACTCCTTTCTCACCATTGATATCACTGGCCGTAGTAGCAAGTTGCTACTAGCAACCGTCCATCCATAAATCATATAATAGCTATCTTCATCCCCATTGATCAGTTGACTAATTTTTCCAACTGCAGTTTTAACCGATCGCAACGGACGCTCAACACAGCTCGCATACTGGCTCCAATTCATATCCAACAGTGATTTGTCCGTAAAGACCGATGCATATTTTCGTCCACTGACATGAATCGCCACATCCATAAGACCGCTGCCCAACGACAACGGACTTATCTCACTCTTAATGGAAAATTTCCCTAACGAGTGTAAAGCACCAGTACAAACGGTGCAATGAGCCTTACTCGTAGCTTGATGATACTGTAAGGTCTTACGCCTATCACAGAATCTATTCGGGCGTGTATTTATAACATAAGAAGTCTTCGTAAAAGTCATCTTATCACAGGAAATATTAAATGAATGAATACCACCTTCACCTCTGAGTATAATCGGAAATCCACTATCGGGGGCAACTATCATATCCGTCACTCTATTGACTGGTAGAATTGGATACTCGCTAACGAGTACCCGTATGCCACTTTCGGGTAACCCTATAACTTCACCGGTCGCTACTGGTTCCACTTTATTTATCTAACAACCTACAACCATCTTTTCTTCAAACTGAAGTAATGCTAAACACTCGTTCCTTGAAGATGTTTTCAATACCGTCACCGATCCATCTACGACACATGAAATAAAATATAGCTTATAGTATGGACTCCTAATAGCTTTCTGCTGCTTGCTACCACCATAAGTTTACCATGGTTTATTTACCACTTCATTATCAAACGACCTCTCTTTTATGTGCATCAACCTGCCCTGCATCACACATTCTCTCTGACACTCAGGAGCATTAGCTAACACCATCTGCAAAGTAACTCTCTTATACACCTCCGCATCCTCCATCAACTGCGTCAGTTCAGGTAAGATGAATCTAGTGTCTAACTTCGACAACATGAACTAACTCGAACTGCATTTATCCCTCAGTAACATCTGATACTTAAGCAATCGATATAAGCTATACAAGATATC